ATGACAGAAGATTCTGAGGGTATCCGACCTGCATATAGGCACGTGCAATGACAGTACCTCCCACAATGGAGTGATTTTTATCCTCGTGACTTGCTCTACCATCAAGAACTGTAATCGCCACCTCTACCTGTCCCTTGTTTTTTAAAAAAAAATCCTTGGCTTATAGCTGAGGATTTGTGGTACTTCATCTTAAACATGATAGCTTTGAAATTCTCTGGTGGTGGTTTGATGTTCTGTCACAAAGTGACAGTAAAATTAGAGTTGAATTATGAGAAAAGTTTCAAGGTGTCCGTGGAATTTATGCTGCACTGTCATCACCAGTTGTCTTGCAGCAATGAAGAATTCCTGTTTCTCAAGATTCAAATATTCCATGATGCTTTAATTTAATTTAAAAATTAACATAGATCATAGTAATACACTAATTAGCATTACTATAAATTTTCTCTGGAGCAGCCTTTCCTTCCACTGTTAGCATTACACGAGTTACCTGCCTGTCTGCTAATTATGTAGCATGCATAAAACGGATCTCTCATTGAGTGCTGGAAGAGGAGTGTGATTCACTGCTCATCTCCAGTATTTTCGGTTCAACAGTTTTAGTAAATGTATCACCAAAATGTGTTTAGATGATTCTTTAAATTATGGGTGATGTTACTCAAATAGTGTGGATGTCCATCAAATACTGTGGGTTTCCACAGAGAAGGTATGTTGGTAGGATAACTGTGATTTATAACTGAAGTCACTCTGCCAGTGTAGAAACTAACAGTGTTAATTAGAATCGATTAAAATGGTAATTAAAAAAAAACATAATCATAAATACTGTATCCATCAAGGAATTTTAATTCTTCCCTAAATGCTGTGGAAGATGTTTCCAGCAAGATATTGCTGTCTCAAATCTGGGGTTTGTTTACCTGGTGCGCGAAACGCCCGTATACACACAGAGTTGAGGTATTGATTGCGTTTTTGCGCAAAGATGGGTGCCTGTCCCACGACAGCACCCCCCTTCCAAAATTCAGTGAACGTTATACAGTATGTATTAGCATATTTATATATTCAGTGTTATTCTCTTAAGCGGTTGGTTAATTTTTCTCTTGTCTACCATGTAAATTAGTTGACATGCTCAGTCCTTTCCCTCCACCTCTTTCTTTCGAGTCTGGAGTACGTTTAGAGTAGGTGGTCCGTGAGTTGGTGGTCACGATCTCCCGCTACTGGAATTACTTTTCCCTTGGTTACTGTAGAAAACTGGTGATATTAAGCCTCCTTTGGTTGTTTTCTAACCTTTGATGTCGTCTTCGTCAGGATGTTCCCCTTATTAGTCTTTCACTTTCCCTCTCAAGGTTGGTGTGGTTAGTAAGGAATGCTTTCTTAGTACAAAATTCTGTTGTTAAATCCCGTCTCATAAACAGTTACTGCCTAACTTTGTCTTACGAGCCAGACACTATTATTACGATAGTAAATACCGATCCAGTTATATGTCAATCTGAGAACTCCTTGTACCAAAGCACAGATAACAGGCCATCTGTTTTCCAGTATCCTAGCGCCTTTGCACTGCTCTTTTTACTCTGTAGCACTGAAATGTCTGTTGGAAGTTGATTTGCATTTTTAGTGCAAATATGGTAATCTTTTTAATTAAAAAATACAACAGGGAGTTTGACCAGTTAGTTTCAGAACACTGCATGTAATTCAGGCCTTTAAGCTTGTTGCCATTCAGTCCAATTCACTGCAATACATACAAATAAGACAGATATTTGTAGTGCCTGAAATAAATAACACTAAATGTTACTGGTTTTCCGTTGCACGTTATGGACTCAGTCTGGTGGGTTGTGGAGGGGAAATACATTTATGTGCCATTTTCGTTGAGGTTATCTCTTCACTATGGTTGTAACATGAAACAGAATATGTAACATGAAACAGAGTATATAACATATTGGAATCCTTTTTGCTTAACTTTCTGTGCTGAGTTTTGTGCAGAAGTGGCTACTATTTTATTGTTAGAAGAGTGACAACGTGCTTTTTTGTTGTTGTTGTTTCCTTCCCCCCGCAACATGATTCTCTTTTTTCCTTCTTTGTACAGGCAAGACTTTGTAGATGCATATGTGGATTACATCTTCAATAAATCTGTGGCTTCCTTATTCAGTGCATTCCATGCAGGCTTCCACAAAGTATGTGGAGGTAAAGTTCTTCAGCTTTTCCAGCCCAGCGAGTTGCAGGCAATGGTGATTGGGAACACAAATTATGACTGGAAAGAACTGGAAAAGGTAAGGACCATAGTTAGCTATTTTTCATATACTTTTAATTTCAAGATGCGAAAGCAAAATCTTGAAGTGTCCTTTTGAGCTCTCTTTTAATTAATGTGACTTCCAGCCTTGATTGGATTGACTGCATGAGCGAGGAATTTTTTTTTCAAATGTCAATGAGTGAAAACACTAAAATATTATTTAACTTCCTGCTTAAAGTTTTCCATTTAATGTCTGAAGGAAATCAGAAGAAGAGAGAGGAAGCAAAATCCGCAGAACCAAAAGGCAGCTGTATACAATGTATTATGTTAGAAGGGAGAAAGTGAACAAAATGCACACAGTTAATAAAAGTAAATATTGTTGATTGCCGTAACTCACTGGGAGACTTTGTCACTACTTTATTGGGGATTGAAAGCGTTTGGAGTGTTTGTATCTCTCCATAAAGCTGAAGTCACACTGACCAGATGAAAAAAATTGACCAAGGGAAACAGTAATATGTCACTTGCAGTGTCCCTTTACACAAACTACCTTCATGCTGCTTGAAGGTTAGATTATCCTACTAGTTCTGCGTGCGAACAATAACCTCATTTCCTGCTTATTTTAGAATACAGAATACAAAGGAGAATACTGGGCAGACCATCCTACGATTAAAATATTCTGGGAGGTTTTTCATGAGTTGTCTCTGGAGAAGAAAAAACAGTTTTTGTGTAAGTATTTGAAACTACTTTGCAGAAACTGCTAACTGAACAGGATCACTGTGATTTCAGGCTCTTGCTCTAAGAGGGCAGATGTAAGTATTTGTCTGTAATGATGTGATTAACTTCATTTGGAAGTTAAAATTCATAGTAGAAGAAATTGATTATGAGGTTCTCTCTGATTTTGCTGGGGTTGTCCTGAGTAGTTCTGGGGGATGGCCAGTTAGAAGATCCCAGTAGACCAGAACAGCATTCAAAAAGTAAAATGGGAGGGAAGAGGGGGGGGGGGAAACCCAAACCCCAGAACCTCCAGCAACTTAAATTGCTAGTGTCATTTATCTAATGACTAGGAATTTTTTCTGTGTTTTGACATAAAGTTCACATTGTCCATTTTTTTCACTGCACATAGATGGAATTTTGGAGTTATAACTGATTGTAAATACCTCAAGGTATATGAGTGGAAATGTACAGGGGCAAAAACAAAGTTCTGGAAGCTTCCCGTGAGCAAGCTTTTGTTGAGACTAGATCGTAGGTTAGTTTCCAATTCAGATAAATTTCTTATTGAACAAACCTCAGTATTTCCCAGATGCTTGCAAATGCTTGGTAAAGGTGTAGCCACTGGATTTTAAATAACGAATTCTCATGCATGAAGAATTTTCCACTCTTTTGGGTTTTGGTTTTTGTTTTGTTTGGGTTTTTTAGGTTTTTTTTGAGGACTGTTTAATTTCATATGCTAAAATTAAATGTTTTCCTTTTATATGTCACTTGTGTTACAGTTAAGAGATCATATGTGTAAGCTGGAGATCGGGTTAAGTCATTGTTCTCTGTTTTTCAAACTTACCAGAACAACTTCAGTGTGAAAAGTTAACCACTGCTGGAATAATTAAAAAATGCAGAGAACGGTTAGCACTGCTGCATGGATGACATATACGATGTTAGTCTTAAATGACTTTCAAGACTTTCTTTCTTTGTGTTTTCTTGGCAGTGTTTCTGACAGGCAGCGATCGGATTCCAATTCTTGGAATGAAGTGTCTTAAACTAGTCATCCAGCCAACAGGAGGTGGAGAAGGTTATCTTCCGGTAGCTCACACTTGCTTTAATCTTCTTGATCTTCCAAAATACACAGATAAAGAAACCCTAAAGTCTAAGTTGATACAGGCTATAGATCACTACGAAGGTTTCAGTTTAGTATAACTTCAGAAATGAGAGTTCTGTGTAACGTGGGATCATTAAACTAACTTTTCGTGTCTTTCTTGTGGTGGTAAATTCAGTGGATTAAATGATGGAGTTAATAATATAACTGATTATTTGCAAAAACGTTCAGTGGTACGGATATTCGTGGGAGCCAAAAAAACATTTACAAAAATGAGGAACTGTCTTAATACATACCTTCTTGTACAGAACCGTGTGGATTTTGCCATCTTACAATAAAAACGAGAGTATCGTGAATGGGAGTCAAGTTTCACTAACATGAATTAACATTTCACCTTATGCAAACAATTTGGCGTGTGAGTGCATGAGAGACTTGCTTAAGTTTTTCAAATCACTTAGTAAGAACATTTAACTTTTTCCCTGATAAATTAACTTGGTAACTTTTCATTTTGTAAATAATAAATTTTTGTGATAAAATAATTATGTTCCAATAGCAGTATGGTTTCTATTGCTTGTAACTGAATATGAGCTTATTTTATGGCTTTTAACAAAAAAAGTGACTACTCTGATTTCTGAAGATATATTTTTCTGGTTTGTTTTAAGAACCTTAATAATGAAAGTGATTGTTTCAGAGACATTCATCTTCACAATGTACAATCCATGAAGCAGTCACTTAGTGCCGATACAAAACTGCATACAATGGCATTTTTAATATGTGGATGGACAAGCTGACTTAATACACTGTTTTATTTTTGAAGACTGATTCTGTAATTAAGTGGACACAATTATAAAAGAGGTTAATTCATCATTTGAAACCTCTGTAGCCATGTGTCAAGAATACAGCTTAAAAAGAAAAGGATGCACCAGACAATTGTTGCTGTTAAGAGGTTAAACGTTTATTTTTAAATGCTGAAAGCGTAGTTTATGGTTTCTAATAGAATTTTCACTTTTTTCCAGATAAATGCATTTGAAATAACTCTTTAACACCCCTCTCCCCTTTTCTTAAGATTTTATTTTTAGTAAAATTGCCCTGAGACGATTGTGCTTAGCTGGACACTTTCAGATTTGACTTTCCTTCTCTGGTTAAATTCCAGATTTTGTGGTGTTAATGCATATGTGACTTGCAGCTGTGAAACAAATATTTATTTTTTTTAGATTTTTAAATGCAGTGAAAAAATTCAAGCTATAATAAAAGACTTGAATGAAAACCTTTGTTGGTTGATGTGTATGGATGCTTGCATCATGCATATTTCTTCAACAGGAGAGCAACTTTTGCATGCGTTAAATCGAGGATACAGCTAGGATACCAAGATCTCACTTGAAAAGCAGGGAAATTAATCTGTTGTCATAAATTTTGTGTAACATGCATTTTCTGTGCTGGCCGTAGATGAGGATATAACATAAAGCAGTTAGTACAGTTAAAATAATTCTTTTTTCCTTAACACTGTGTTTTTATAGCTTTCTCCTGCAGTGTAACCTCTAGTGATTTCTTTGAATGCAGCCCATATTCCATCTTTCCCAACATTTGTTGCCTGGCTGGGAAACTCTCCCTCTTGTGAAAAACAAGGAGCCAACAACAACTTAGGCAGCTTAATCTTACTATACATGAAAGAAAAAAAAGGAGAGAAAGGAAGCAGGAAAAATAAAAAAAGGTATTATGCCTTCATTTTACCAGGTAATGTTAAATCACTGTTTTAAAATTAGGAAACATCAAGATTGCAAAGACAAATATTAAAAAATTAGGGAGTGGCTAATGTAAATCTGTCCTCTTCCTTTTTTGCTTGTGTATTATTACATGATCAAGTGCTGTTTTTTTTTCTGTGGGACTCCTGCTTCATTCAGTGTACTCAGTTGATGGTGTTCACTGAATAATAGGGGATTTTATGTTCAGTTGTGCAGGTCCAAGTCTAATTTATTGTGTGTCATCTAAACCCAGCACTATATATTTGTATTTAATTTCCCTGTGGGACTTTCTCTGATTTCTGTTGTATTGGATTTTTCATCAATATTAATCTGAAAGATAAGTACAGCCTTATTCTGTGGATGGAGGGGGTCTGAGACAGAGTCCAAGCCATAGATAACTCAACACTACCAATTTTTGGTGCCCAATGTAGGATGTGCTAGAGAACTTGAATGTCCTTTATCTTTGACATGCAGTTTTTGTTGACTAAAACTGCTGTGGCAGCCACTTCATGTTGCTGCAAAAGTTCCTCCAGCATCAGCAATACATATTTCTTACTTGGAACATTAGTGGACATTAGTATGCGTTGGGACGTGTTGAACGGTTGGTTACCTGTTACGTTAAGGATCCACTGGCAGAACAAGGCTAGAGTCGCTTTTCTCAGGGCAGCGTTCACCTGAGACTTCTTTTTGCAATTTTGGGCTTGGTTTTACCCACCTCTGCAAGAAATAGAATTGGGTCCTACAGAGCATGATCGTATTTGCTAAGTGCTGCCAATTATCTTGCAGGTGTTAGCTCAGTATGTGCAGTGAGACAGGTGCCCTGCTGCAAAACAGACATTGTCTACATAACAAGGTAGATTTTCATATGTTACTAGAACAATTATCAGTCATTATATTACTTCTGTCAAACAGTTTAATACTTTCTGCAATACTATGTTGCCCTTAGTTCTGTTGACAGTTGTAACAGCCCTGTGAAGGGTCTCTACAGAAGTTGTACGCTTAAGTGTTTCCTCTGGCTGGAAAAAGGTGGGCAGCAGGAAGTGCTTTCTCTTTCTTGGATCACGTATCATTTTACATACAATATTTGATGCTGTGCATCATGTGAGAAAGGGGACAAAAGAAAAAAAAATCCCTTCCATTCTATGCTCAGTCAAAATTGCCATGGTGTTAAATGAAGAAAGCTGAGGAACTTCCTCCTTGTTGAATCTCCGATTAATGAGGAAAGCTTGCGTACCGCTTTTGAAAAGGATAATTCAAGCAACTTTGTCCCTCATTTTTAAGGGAAAATCTAAGAACGCTGTTGCCCTCTGCCAGTGTAGAACTATTAAAGCGGTGAGCCCTGCTTTAACGTGATGACTTGCCTCCTTTGGTACTTTGTGGGAGTTACTACTACTAAGGTTGTTATTAATGTAGAGCATCAAGCCGTGGTATTCCCTTCAAGAAGGTTTATATGCTACTTTAAAAAGGATTTTAATTCATCGTACTGCTCTCTGCTGCAATAAACTTGATTTATCAAGAATAAATGAAGTTAATATAATCAAATATAAACCACTATAAAAGAGAGCTCTTTAAATAAAGGCACATGAGGTTCTGCAGTTGAGACAAATACAGAATAAAAGCTTTCTTTTAATAATACAATTTTCAGCATGATAGACAGTATTGAGTAAGTACCACAGAAATGGCTGTGTTCACTTTCTCTATTGTGCAAACAGAGCTATGTACTTGTGTGTGCTATGTACAGCTGTCTTACTTGGTTGTGGAGGAGGTGAGGAAAAAAAAAAAAAAAGCTGGGAAGAGTAAAATATCTGTTTCTCCTGATAAGTGACAGTTCCCATTACTTACCAAGTGGGTGTTTATGAATTGATAGGTCAGTATCAAGCTACTATTTTTCTCTCTTTCAGTGTGCCATTCAGGTTTGTGTTGATCAGATTTGGAGCAGTAACTTTAAAAACCTTACCTAGACCTTAGAAGGCTTAAAGCCTCTGTCACCTCTGTAGCCAGGTCTAATACTACACCTTAGAGCCCCAAGAAATCCCCTTGACTGTTTTCCCAGAGCACGTATGTGCTTAATCGGTAAAATAACACCACCAGGCATAACAAAGAGTTGGCTGAATCCTCAAATTTATTTTTTTTTTCCCTGAGGAAAGGAGCGTGTTCTTGCCTACACATGTTATTTAACTCTGTGCCGCCAGTTGCACTGGCCTCCTTTCTGCAAGTAGAGTACGCTAAAACTTTCTAACTGCAACGTTTTGCCTCCCCGTTTCTGCACTGATGCAGATCTGTTGAATGAGAAGGATGTCTTTTATCTTCTGATCACAAGACAACTGGGGGTGGGGGGCAAAAGCACCTAAAACCACCTGTGGCAATACCATCACCATGTTAAAACTGTGTAGAAGTATCCTATGTACGGAGCTACTGCTCTCTTACTACCAGTAGATTGAACAGTCTGAGTTTCTGCATATCCTACACTGTGCGGTGCCTGGAGGGCTGTGAGTGTCCACAGGAATTCACTGCTTCCCCCCTTTACACCCACCGCATGCCCGATTACTTGAGGAATTCAGTGAGGAAACAAAAGATTAATGTTACACGAAGCCTTCAGTTTGAGTCGAGTGCAAAAGTTAAGTTTCCTGCCCATTTTTGAGCAGGCACACCAGCCTTTCTGTTGGAACAGAGCTGGCAGACTAGCCAAAACCCAGCTTCCTCTAGAAATGGTATTTGCCAGGTCCTTGCATAAAAGGTGAAACTAACTGAATTATTTGTGGCTTAATTCTGCGCAGAGGCTGTGTGGGCGCACCTGCTCGCAGTAGCGCTTGAGTACTGTGGGAGCTACGCCTAGCGTCTCAGCAAGCCTGAGGCGGTCCGCTGGCCAGGGGTGAGTACCCCAACGCACCCTGAGGGGCCGAGATCGACTTGTCCATGACGAAGGGAGAGGGTAACTGAGGAGATAAGGGAGATCGTGGGTATCTTCAGGTGAGGGAGCTGTTGGAACAGACCTGCAGCAGTTGAGGGGAGTCCTCTGCTGCCCGCAGCTCTGCAGCAGGGCTGTTAACGCAGAGGTCAGCGTAGCCCAGTGCCCTGTCGGATATTTGAGCTTTCTGTGGCTTTCCTTGTGCTGGTGGCCAGTACGGAACGCCTAGAGAAGCTTTGAAGATTGGGATAAGACTGTAGTGGTACCTCATCGTAAGGGCTAAGGGTAACCCTTGCACCTGCTCTTCAGCGTGCAGCATTTCCGGGCGACTTGCTGCAGGGCTGCGTAGCAGCTTCC